GCCTAACAAAGAAAGAAAAAAACAGAACAGCCCAACAGCAAGAACCAAACCTAAAAAAACGAAAAATAAAACAGAAAACACACGATGAAGAGCTATCCACAAAAAGACAAGGCCGAGGAGGAAAATAATGACAGAGTGGTACGAATATCAGATGCTAAGGCTTGAACTTGCCAACAACAGTGATCATGATTTGAACGCATCAAGAAAATATCTTTGTCATTGAAAATCAGAGTAACCTTCTGCCATTTGCTTCCCACTCCTTGCTCTAACCAGGTTCTCAAGTTGAGGAGGATGGCATCCACTGGTTGCTGAGAACCGACCTCCCTAGATGCTAACCAGCTATCCACTTCTGAACCATTAATGCAAGCTGAGCTCCGAGCTAACCAAGGAATTTGGTCTGGTCCTGCAGCACTAGGGGTTTGCAAAACCACTCTTATTGCATGAGAATCAGCCTGCTCTACCAAACCTCTACCAAACTTAATCTCCTCAAACTCAAGCCACTCAACTTTTGCTTTAGTGACCACATCAACTTCTCACATGAGCTCTTTTTTTAATACCCAACTGTTTCTCGTCCTCCAAAGCCACCATAGAAGATACATGGACAAGGAAATTCTGTCTCTGTTGAAAGTTGTGTTCTTCAGGCTGGAGAGGTCATTCCACCATTGTGCAAAAGATTCCTGTCTGACTTAGATTCTAGACCAATGAAGCCCTGCAATTTTCCAGATTCTCTGCGCACGAGAGCAGTTAAATAACAGATGGTCCAAATCTTCTAAGCCTTCACCACAACAACCACAAATTTCATCTACATTAATACCTCTCTGATGTAATTTGTGGTAGGTGCCCACTCATCCATGGAGACACCTCCAAACAAAATTTTTAATTTTAGGCTTAACTTGAAGTTTCCAGAGCTTTTGCCATGATTTTTGTCTATTATGGAAGCCAGAGCTTGATTCAGCTACAGTCTTCAGACCAGCAATGTGTTGATGGATGAGCTTGTAGGCATCCTTTACAGTGAAGAGACCTTTCCTGCTTGGGTTCCAAATAAGCTTGTCATGTGCACCCCATCTGCTAATGTGAGTTTTTAGAATAAGATCAACATCATGTGGGGTGAATGTCTGAAGAATAAGCTCAATGTCCCAACATTTTTCCCCAGGCAACATAAGGTCAGAAACCCATTTCAGTCTAGACCTGTCACCTTCAAAGCAACTCATATGTTTGAAATTTGTGGAACTGATTTTAAAGCAGATATGGAGGGTATTGACCAAACCTAACTCCCTTA